CCCCCCCCCCCCCAAGCCCTGTCTGTGACCACGGGATGCGCCGTTATCGCCTGAAAATGGGAAAAAAGGGGAATTCTGCCAGTGAAAGCCAGGCCCGTGGGGGAGAGAATCCACGGGGCTGAAGGGGATTTGGATAAATATCAGGGATTAGAAGCGTTCTGCAGGATGGGAATTGACAGTATCCTTTTAAACACAGCATCCCAGATTTCCCCCCCCTCTGCCTTCAGCATCTACACGTGGGTTGGTGGAAGTTGTAGGTGATGGGGGGCACGGCTGGGGGGTACCAAACGAGCCCTTCTCCCTGCCCGGAGAGCTTGGAAAGAGTGGGAAGAGGGTGGGAAGCAACACCCTGTCCTCAAAAATGGGAAAACACCAATTTCCCCCCCGGGGATAGAGGGGAAGTGGTAATTCCTGGGCTGTTGGCACTGGGATGAGTTAAGGGACCAGGATGAGTTCTCCTCGTTCTCCATCAGCTGGGAACCACTGGAATCACCCCCTTCCAGCCCCGCTGGGGGCAGAAGGAAAAGTGGGATTATTTCCACAAACCCGGTAAAGAGTTTGCCCAAGTTCTGCCCCATTAAACCCCCGGCCTCTGCCCATCCCTTCCCACCATCCCAACTGGGCATCCGGATCTGCCAGGAGAACTGGGATTCCCAGAATCCCAGATTCCCAGATCCCAGGGAACTGGGAGCCCAGAGCTGGCCCCGGGCTCCTCTGCAGCCCTTGGGCTAATCCTGCCTGAAACGCCCCCAAAACCAGCCGGGAAGGACTGGGAAGGACTGGGATACGAGCACTCCCTCCCCATTCAGGTGGTTCCTTCTCCAGGGGAAGACACTTACCTGCAGAAGATGCAGAATCAGCAAAAAGTCACCCAGCGCTGGCACCTCAGCGTAAAAAAGGTGACAATAACAGAGTGGGGGGGTGTTTCAGGGCTGCTCTTCCCCCCCCCCACCCCTCGATGTTATTTCTCCATCAGGGCAACAAGCAAAAATGCTCCTACTTTGCTTTTTCTTCGGGGGTAGGACGAAGGGTTGGAGGGAAAGGACAGGAGGAGCAGCCAACTCAGAGTCACCGGAACAGAGACCATTCACTTTTTCCCCCTCTATCAAGAGTTAAATCCTCGTCCCTGGGATAAAACCTGAAATGCAAAACAAATTCGGGCACCCCGGGTGCCAAGGAGCCCCCAAAAAGGAGCCCGTTCTGTAGCACAGCTCCCTTTTCTGATTAAAAATCTTCCACACGGGTCACTACAGGCTCAGGATTCTACTGGTAAAAGGTAATTTAACAAAAAAAAAAAATTAAATTATTGATTGGTAACTTTTGTTTGGTAAATCTGAAAAAAAAAAAAAACAACTGAATTAGAAAATTGTAAAAAAAAAATAATAAAGCAGGATGTAGGGAGGGTAAAAAAAAAAACCAAAAACCTGAGCCTGACAGTACAGATTTGGAGCTAAATCACAACAATCTCAGGAGGCTCTGAGCTGGATCCTGCAGAAGCAGCAGGAAAACCTCCGCTGAGAACGTGCTCGGGGCCGGGGGGGGGACAGAGGGAAAGGAGAAGCACAAAGAAATCCCATCTCCCAAGAGCTGCTGTTTCATTCCCTCGCTGAAAAATGGACACAAAACTTGTTGGGGTTTTCAGGTTTGGTATTTTTTTCTTTTTTTTTTTTCTCTTCTGGACAACGGATGCAGGGTTAAAGCATGTTCCTTTTCCTCTCCCCCTCTCCAAAGGATTTCGGTGACCAATTCCAACCCCACCAGCAGCAACAGTTCCTCGTGGGTTGGCAAAACCCTCCCTCCTCCTCCTCCTCCTCCTCACCGCCGGGGTTCCCGATCCGAGGGCGCCCAGCGGGAAGGGATTCCCGATGGTACCAAATCCAACCTGGAGAAAAAAAAGCCAACCCCAAGGGCTCCAGCTCCAGTTTGGGCCCAGTCCGTGAGTTCTCCGGAGCGGGCTGGGAGGGGGGGTGTATGTATGTGTATGGGTGGCTACTGGGGGGGGCCTGGCGCCGTGGCCCTGGCTCGTTGGCCCTGGCAAATGACACCGGTATCGCTTTCCTGGAAGATACTGGCGTCCACCGTAAATTCTACAAGTGTAATTAAATACTCAGTTTGCAGGGACGAGCTCTTCCAGTGTCATAGGATGATGCAGCATCTGCAGAAGCGTTGTCGGCTGCCCCCCACCGAGGGAGGAGGAGTCACCGGCGCGAAGTAAGCGTGGACTTTGATATTGGGTAAATGGGTCTGAAAAGACAAAACCAGAGGTGTGAAGGGACACGAGGAACGGACGAGACGGAGACAAACAGCCCCAAAGAGCCCTGGCTCACTTCTCTTCACACACACACACACACACACACACACACACACAAGATGGAGCAAACTCTTTCCGTTCATCAGCTCTGTTTCCCCCCAAAAAGTTCATTCTTACTCCAGAGCACTGGTTCCCAGTGAGAGGACGGGGGGCAACGGGTTGAAGGAGGAGGGAGCCAGACTCTTTTCAGTGGTTCCCAGTGAGAGGACGAGGGGCAACGGGCACAAGTTGGAACAGAAGAGGTTCCACTCAAATATGAGGAGAAACTTCTTCCCAGTGAGGGTGGCAGAGCCCTGGGACAGGCTGCCCAGGGAGGGTGTGGAGTCCCCTTCCTTGGAGATTTTCAAGCCCCCCCTGGATGCTCCTGAGTAACATGCTCTGACAAGCTCTGGGCAATCCTGCTTCAGCAGGGGAGTGGGACTAGATGATCTCTATGGTCCCTTCCAACTCTAAAAATTCAGTGAAATTCAGTGAAAAAGTGATGCTCTCTCCTCCCATCAATCCTGTGCCCCCCATGGGGACCACAACAAGGGCCAACTGGATGGATCCCTGTTCTCTTTGCAAATAAAACGCCATTTCTTCTCTTTTACAGAGAGAAACAGACTGGGGAGGGAATCACTGGGCCACTGAGTGCCTTGGATGAGCCTGGCTCTGGCTCTGTCCTGCTCACAGGGACACGCAGCCCCCCCTGCCACAGCCTGGCCCTGCTGTGGGATCAGTTATCTGGAGGAGCAGCTCTACACACTCACTGTGACACTAACGCTGGGTCCCACCTCTGGAGGAGCACTGTCCCCTGGTCTCCCCTGGCCCCTTCTGCTGCTGCTCAGCCAACACTGAGCAACAAAAACCACAGCAATTAATCCCCTCTCTCCCCTACCAGCCAGCCTTCATCCCCACTCATCCTCTGAGTGCAGCTACTAATGTCATAGACACTGGTTTTCATGAGACTTTGAAGACTGAGCACCAGATCACGAGGAATCCCAAACCTCAGCCCTTCCTGCCAGAAAACGTGTTCAAATCACAGCCTTAGCGTGTATTATTATTATTATTATTCTTTTTACCCTGAGTCTCTTGATCCCTGCCCGGGTGATTTGCTGACAGTCGTACAGTTCTATCCTCTCCAGGCTGTGGCAGCTTTTCAGGTGCTCCAGGGAGGCGTCGGTGATGAGGGGGCAGTTGTCCAGCTCGATCACCTCCAGGCGGTCGTGGGCGCAGGCGCCGTTCCCCAGGTGACGGATCCCGTCGTCCGTGATCAGCTCGCAGTGGGACAAGCTCTGCAGCCCAAACACAGCACCTGATCAACCTCTGCCACCAGCAAGGAGAAGCCACCACCCTGCCCAGGGGTGGGGGACCAGTGAGAAGGTTTGGACTGGTTTGTCACACTGGTGGGGACTGGGCTCCATGGGACTCACGTCCCTGCAAGGGGGACAACTCGCAGAGCTGAAGCCCAAGGGGAAAGGCAGCTGCTGAGAAACGAGCCCCACAGAGCCAGGAGGGCACCTCAATATCTCTGCTGTTGAAGAAACCACCTCTGCCAAGTCTGTGGCCTTCCACATCCCAGGGAGGACCCTGTCACCAGGGCTAAGAACCAGCAGAAGTGTCATGTCACCTACTTGGGGCACTTTTTTGAGGAGCCACAACCTGGTCTAGTGAGAGGTGACCCTGCCCAGGGCAGAGGGTGGCACTGGGGAGGCTTAAAGGTCCCCTTAAAGGTTCCTTCAACCCAAACCAGTCTGTGATTCTACGACAACGGAGAAAGAGGAGGCCACAACTAAATTCCCAGAAATTTAGACCAGGAGGAACATTGCTTTCCCGAGCCAGCGAGCTCTCCGGGTCTCACTACAGCTGGGAAGGGCTGCAGTGTCCCTTCCTGCAGACAGAGTGACAGCCCAGGTTGGGGACAGACTCTGCTGGGCTGGCTGAGGACAGCCAGAGGCTGGGACCAGGAGACTCCAGTGTCCTACAATTCATGTCCAGGCAGCTGGGGGTGCCTGGAGGAGGATTAATGCCAGCAGCAGGGGAGGGACAAGAGGTTCCTCAGGGTCAAGTTTCCAGCCGAATTCATCCAAAGCCTTCGCAAGTCGTCTGTGAAGTTCAGAGAGACACATCCCACCCCCGGGCAGGGCTTCAGATCCCTTTGTTTATAGAAAGAAAATGCTGAAGGTCTCACTTCTGATACTCACCAGAACCTGAAGCCGCGGACAGTGTATGGAAAGCTGGATTAACGTACTGTCTGTTATCTGGAAAAAAAAAAGAAAAAGAGAAAAAGCCCTTTCACGCCGGGTGCTTTGCACAAGGACATTTTTTTCCCCATTTTTTTCCATGACAGCACTCCCTGCAGTCGCTCTCCTGAGCCCCTCAGGAGCTCATCTCCTGCCTGACCACATTTCAGATACACAGATTGTTCCGCTCCCTTGTAGACACCAACTCATCTCCTTAAAAGACTGGTAAGACATGGGTATTGCTGGTTTTTTGGACTTCTTATGAAATAAGCTCACAACTCATCTCCTTAAAAGACTGGTAAGACACGGGTATTGCTGTTTTTTTTGGACTTCTTTAAGCAGTTCTTATGAAATAAGCTCCCACTTAAGGGAAGTAAGTGCACAGACCTCTTCAACACAACAATCTCTCCTAAATGTTTGTCTCCCAAAGTACCAGAGGTGTTGGGATCCCCTCCCAGCAGCCTGGGGGGCTGTGAATCCTTCCTCTTTATTCTTCAGGGAGAGAGAGGCTCCACACAATGGTTTTCTCATCTAAAAGCCTTCAGAAGGGACCGTGCTGGGCTGTCTTTGTTCAAAGCAGTCAGCCCAAGGACACAGCCCAAATTTCCTTTTTTGGGTTAACTTTAAATCACTTCCCGTCTGGACTATTGTCATTTCCTCTCCACATCTCCTGAATTTCTGGCCCCATATATACCAGGAGGCACAGAGATCCGGGGTCACACTGCTCTCGTGGCAGGAAGCAAAATCCTATTTGCCTCCACTGTCTCTACTGGAATCAATTTCATACCTATCCTTGGGTATCATACAAATCCTTGGGGTTAGAGATTTTTTTTTTTCCAGGGGATCTTGAGGAAATTCAACTATTTTCCCTATAAACACTACCTTGAAGCAGTTACCAGCTTATGGCACGTGCCCTACAGGACATCTGAGAGATCTCCTTAAACCTCACGAAGTCGGCTGCAGCTCCTTCCCTTTCCCAAGAGAAAAGATCTTACACTGGGATTTGAATTCGTGTCGAGGGCCACAACTCACACATCTATTCCATGCCCTTCAGGTATTGTAGGGTCATAAAAAGGCCATAAAAACCTATCACTATTAAAGGTTTTTTAGCATTGACAGCAGCAGGCATTACTACAAAGTCTGATCAAAGGATCAAACTACAAACCCAATATTTTCTTATCCAAATACATCCAATTCTCTTGCTCAGGATTCTAAATAAAGCTCTCATTTCGAGACAATTTACTGCTTTTTCACCCTCTTGCTGTGACTGTGCTAAAAGAGAACCAGCCCAAGGTGGCACCTCCTACCTGGACACACTCTTCCAGGTCCATTTTTTCAAGCTCGTGGCAGTTCTAGGAACAAGCAGAAGACAGAACACACAAGCTGAGTGCAAAGTTCAGGCAGCAAATATAAACACAACTACAATAAAGACAGTTCTTTTTAAAAATGAAGGTGTTTTGTTCCACCATGAAACACGGGAGGAAAGTTTGCTGCTGCTTTATGAGCAGCACAAAGTATAGGGAATCTGGCATTTTCACTCATTTAAAGGCACAGAGGTTTGTTTTTTTATTAATAGAAAGTAAAGTTGATTAAATACAGGGTCACTTGTACATAACACAGATTAATCTAGAAAAACAAACAGCAAAGTTTATAACTCCCAAACATTTAACATTTGATGTAGTTTGGACACATCCTCCTCCATGTGTGGGTCAGCACAATGCCAAAGATTACACACAACCTCATTTTGGTGACTTGGCTCCCACTCAGAGGTGGAGATCGAAAGCATTACCAAAATCTACCTTCAAGAGAAAGCTCTGTTCATATTCATCACGAAAAGAAAGCAAAGATAGTCGATGGAAAAGCAGAAATGAGCACTTACCCTAGCTAGAGTGGTAAAGCCCACATCTGTTAGTTGAGAACACCTTGCAACTTCTAATATTCTGCACAGAAAGAATTTATAATAACCATGGTGGAGTCATTTGGCTTTTCAGAGTGTTTCATTAAAAGCTTCCAGCAACCCAGAAAAGTCTGACCCGGTTTAGGCTGTGCTCTCTGAGAGGAGAATTTGCACAGAGGAAAGAGAAAAAGAAGTCAGGCTAAAAGCAAACTCCGAGGGTCGCCCAGTCCCTGCCCCGGCAGGAGGCAGGGGGGGCCAATCCGACAAGTCTTGGACTAAGGTGCTCTTAAAAACCTCTTTTGGTGGACGCTCCACAACCTCCCTGAGGGATTTCCTCTGGTTTCCACCCAAAACACAGATGTTCCCATGAGAGGGGGGTGTAACACACGACAGGCTGGCAGCTGAGCGTTAGAAAATGAGTATTTAATGCCTCCATAGAATAGTCTGAAGTCTCCTAAGAGGCGAACTGCCTGCTTCTGCCACAGCAGAAACTTTCTGGCAGACGGTTACTGCAGCTCTACAGAGGTTTGCTTCAAAATATTAACAGATTTAGAAAAGAAAAGGCAACTTGCCTCAAGTGCTTTATGCATTTTACCGCCTGGAGCTTAATACTCTAAAGCTGCAGCTGAACATAAACACAGAAACTATTTGGAACCGAAACCACGTTTTACCTTCCTCTTTCAAACCCTGTTCCCACACACTTGTCTGCTGTGCTTTGTAGCCAGAATTCTTTAAATGAGCTTGTCACAGAAAACAGTTTGGGTTTTTTCCCCCTCCCCAGAAGACAGGCATTTTATGCCACTGAAACCAGGCCACTCAGCTCTTACAGATGTCAGATAATAAAACTGTCTCTTCTTCCTGCACCTGGCCATTTTCTGAATTATAGTGAAGTCTTCCTGAAGAAATTCGTCCTAATGAGAAAAAGTCTTAAAAAAATAATAATAAAAAAAAAAGGAAGCACCTGCAGAGGTGGGCTGGAAGCCCACTCTGTCAAGCAGAGCGAGAGAGAGCACAAATTCCATCTGCTACAAAAATCATCAGGAGAACCCCGTGAGTATCACACCTCAAGAGGAAACGGCGTTGTTTCAACGTGTTTTCAGAAGTAACCTAACCTCGACTGGTTTTCATAAAAGAACAAAAGCAACCAGACAATGGGGGAAGAGGAGCTGGTGGCTGCGGGGGTCTATCGGCAGCGCCCGCCCCCACGGCAGGGAGCTCTTCTGCCACGCTCCCAGAAACCAGAAATTTGGGTACAACTAGGATCATCCCACAGCAAAGGCCTGGAAAAAGCTGGGTGGTGAGAAGAGAAAGTTCTAAACCAGCCCAAATATGACAGGAGGGTGTCACTAAGATCCTTTGCTCACCACGCAGGGGGTGCCCAGAGCTGGGGGGACCCCGCGGAGAGGACTTACCTGAGGCGGGGGCAGTTCTGGCCCAGGGCGTTCAGGATGGCATCTGTAATGTTAGAGCAGCCTGAAGCACACAAGGATTGTAACTTGTGGCATCCTCTGCATATTGTAATGAGACCATCATCTGTTATTTGCTACAAGAAAAACAATAACAACATCACAAAGCCATGACAACGTAGGTGGAGGTGCAAGGCGCTGCATAGTTCCCTTCTCGGCCTTCCAACCAGGCATTCAACTGAGGCCAAGTTATGCTCCTTTCAACCCCAAAAATGCACTCAAATATTTCACTGGAGCAGCCAAAACAGGATAAGCCACATTGAAGGGACTTGTAAACATTCGGAAAGTGATTCCACATGCAGGGAAAGGTTTCTGAGCTTGGGTGACGTGAGCGCTGGGCCCAGGCTCCGTCTCCTGCAGCCCTTCCTTGTACAGGCCTTCTTGGCCAAAACTCAAGACGAGAGAGCACCCAACAGCCAGAGCCACCCACAAAATATGCAGGAGGTTATTCACACAAACAGCCTTTTAAAAATATACGTTTTGGTGGTTTGGGACCAAGACCTGCATGGGGAGAGACAGGCTGACGGCCCAAACCATGTTAAATTGACCCCATGGCACCGCAGCCATCGTCCCACCGTGTCCCTGGCCACTCCAGGCAGGTCCAGCCCCAGATGCTCTGCTCTGGGGTGGCAACAGCAAACGAAGTTGCTCCAGATGTTCCCCAACAGGAGCAAGAGCAGACGGGGCTGGGACCCAGCCTGGAGGTGCCCAGGAGCTGCAAGGGACCGAGAGGGACGAGGGGAAGAGGGACAGTAGGTGACACGGGCTGTGGGTGCTCCAGGATCAGACTAAACCTCACGTGGTTCTCAGGGTCTGGATTTTCAGCAGGAGCCAGGCTCCATTCCCACAGGAAAAAGCACCAACTGAGGGACTGGCACTGATTCTTTGAAAACAGCAACCAGTAAGTCTGTGGGCTGTACTGGTGCTGGAGCCAGGTGAAATAAAAACTGAGTAAAACTTGGTATTTTCAGTTAAAGCGATCAAAAACCTTATTAGTTTTCTCCTCCCTTCTGCCTGTTGCTCCTCGTCTGCAAGCCCCCAGTCCAAACTGGACAGCCACCAGTTTCCAGCCAGCCCAGCAACCAGTAAAGCTACTCCTCAAACAGGTCTGGGAAGGGACATCCCTGCAGCCCCCGGGGCCTTGCCCTCTCCCGTGGAAAAGGAGGAGATTGTCCAGGTTTCACTGTGTGGGACGTAACTGCACGATGGGATGTACAAAGAGCCCCTTCCAATTTCTTTTTTTGGCATAAATATACATTTTTGGCACTGCAGAATAACAGTAATGTTATTTATATAATAATATGTAATAAATACATGAGTATATTTCTATAATAAATAAGGGTTTAGAGCCCTTCTGTGCATGGAAACTGCATTTTTTTGGGTTCAATTTTATAAAGAGAGCGGAGGAGCCACGGAAAGAATTTTTCCAGGCAGCCCAGCGGAAACTGCATTTTTTTGGGTTCAATTTTATAAAGAGAGCGGAGGAGCTGCCTGGCCCAGATCACACCCAACCACTGCGGCCCCACGGAAAGAATTTTTCCAGCCAGCCCAGTCACTGGGTTTGGGAGCCCCGTGGGCAGGGCAGAGAGACAAACAATTCTCACAAAGGGAATGCCACAACACTGTTTGGAGGGGCTTATTCAGCATTTCTGAACGCTACCGAGAAGCTGGTTTTCATCAACTATTTTTAAAAGCCTTGTAAATTTGCAATTGCCCCGACGGCAGAGACGGTGACGTTTTTTTTTTTGGATGGGGAATATCCTGACGTGGTTCTGCTCAGAGCTGGCCCCTAAAGACACGAGTTTGGGAAATGGGAGGAAGCTTTACTTACTAAGCACGTTTGGAGGTTTAAAGTCACCAGCTCGGGACAGTGTGCACCAATGTACTTCAGAGCTTCATCCTCAAGCTGGAAAATAAAAATTAAAGAGACTGAAGCAACCTGGTAATACTCAAAGCAATCTTCAAAATCAAGCTCTGAGAACAACAAAGCCTCTGTGGTCTGGGGACCTGTGGGGGAGGAGGGCAAAGCACTGCAGGATGAAAATAAGCAACGAGTGGATGCATTTTTGGTTGGTTTTTTTACCATCTCAGGAACAGAGTTCAAAGACTGCCCAACACAAAGTTACTCATTTAAAGAAAAGCCGATCTGGTCAAACACACATAATTAACAACCAAGTACTGAAATCAGAAACTATTTACAGGAATTAAGGAAACGCTTCACTAGTGAGGGCTAGAAGTAATGTTATTTTTATATTGCAATACTGGAACTGAAAAAAAACCCCAGCATTATTCCAATGTGAGGAGCACAAATATATCCAGGTTGTTCTCTGAGGATAAAAAAGTCTGCTATTCTTAAATCTATATGAACAGATGGCAAGTAATTGATAACAAGGACGTATTGCCATCAATATTACTCACGACTCCATAAATTACTAGAAACTCAAGCTGTTTCTATGACCTGAATTCTCAAAATAGACCGAGATGGTTATATCTTTAATCAAGTCGTTTTTACAGCCATGTATATCCAGCTCACGTATTAAAAACCCTACAGGAGCATAAATTTAGAAAAACTACTGACTGTAGCCCTTACAGCTGGGCTTTTTTTTGTGCACACAGGGGTATTAGTGCTCTGTGCACACAAACCAGGGTTATCAGTGCTCTGCTCACCACAACCATCTTTCAGGATTTTCAGGATGCACAGGGGAAATATGGTGGTTTTTTTCAAAATAAAAACATACAGCTGTTTATCTACACGGCAGACACTTAAGGAAACCCTACCCCCAAGAAAACCCCAAATCCAAACACAATCTGCACTGTCAGTGTTGGGGTACAAGGACCTAACACAGACCAGAGATCCCCTCCAGGTCTAACCTGAGGTCCTTAAACTCTTGGGAGTCTCTGGCTGACACGTTTCACCTGCTACAGGGTCAGTTTTACTTCTCCTTTTTTCAAGGACAAGATTCTGAGTTAAAACATTTGCTCCTTTCTAACCTCTCTGTCTGCTTGAAAAAAAACCCAGCCCATTTAAGTAAAAAAAATAAGAATTAATCCCCACATTCTTTGGGAAATAGCTCTGCAAGGAGCCAGTTCTCCTTAAAAGACTAAGGTCGATGTTCCCCACGCCCCAGTTCATAATGGATATAAACCCTTAGTAAAGTTGTAATACAGGGAAGCGTTTAACTTATTAAACTTTTCAATGATTCACCAGGTAAGACAGCAGAGAAAGATTACAGGAAGTTAGTCTAAATAACATAAAAGGGGTAAAAAAAACCCCTTTCGCTGTACCGTTTAGGGCATCATTTATGTATTTCAAAGCAGGAGCATCACAGTCTCTGCAGCCTCCTCAAAATATGTACAAAGAGCCCCTTCCAATTTCTTTTTTTGGCATAAATATACATTTTTGGCACTGCAGAATAACAGTAATGTTATTTATATAATAATATGTAATAAATACATGAGTATATTTCTATAATAAATAAGGGTTTAGAGCCCTTCTGTGCATGGAAACTGCATTTTTTTGGGTTCAATTTTATAAAGAGAGCGGAGGAGCTGCCTGGCCCAGATCACACCCAACCACTGCGGCCCCACGGAAAGAATTTTTCCAGCCAGCCCAGTCACTGGGTTTGGGAGCCCCGTGGGCAGGGCAGAGAGACAAACAATTCTCACAAAGGGAATGCCACGACACTGTTTGGAGGGGCTTATTCAGCATTACTGAACGCTACCGAGAAGCTGGTTTTCATCAACTATTTTTAAAAGCCTTGTAAATTTGCAATTGCCCCGACGGCAGAGACGGTGACGTTTTTTTTTTTGGGATGGGGAATATCCTGACGTGGTTCTGCTCAGAGCTGGCCCCTAAAGACACGAGTTTGGGAAATGGGAGGAAGCTTTACTTACTAAGCACGTTTGGAGGTTTAAAGTCACCAGCTCGGGACAGTGTGCACCAATGTACTTCAGAGCTTCATCCTCAAGCTGGAAAGAAAAAAATTAAAGAGACTGAAGCAACCTGGTAATACTCGAAGCAATCTTCAAAATCAAGCTCTGAGAACAACAAAGCCTCTGTGGTCTGGGGACCTGTGGGGGAGGAGGGCAAAGCACTGCAGGATGAAAATAAGCAACGAGTGGATGCATTTTTGGTTGGTTTTTTTACCATCTCAGGAACAGAGTTCAAAGACTGCCCAACACAAAGTTACTCATTTAAAGAAAAGCCGATCTGGTCAAACACACATAATTAACAACCAAGTACTGAAATCAGAAACTATTTACAGGAATTAAGGAAACGCTTCACTAGTGAGGGCTAGAAGTAATGTTATTTTTATATTGCAATACTGGAACTGAAAAAAAACCCCAGCATTATTCCAATGTGAGGAGCACAAATATATCCAGGTTGTTCTCTGAGGATAAAAAAGTCTGCTATTCTTAAATCTATATGAACAGATGGCAAGTAATTGATAACAAGGACGTATTGCCATCAATATTACTCACGACTCCATAAATTACTAGAAACTCAAGCTGTTTCTATGACCTGAATTCTCAAAATAGACCGAGATGGTTATATCTTTAATCAAGTCGTTTTTACAGCCATGTATATCCAGCTCACGTATTAAAAACCCTACAGGAGCATAAATTTAGAAAAACTACTGACTGTAGCCCTTACAGCTGGGCTTTTTTTTGTGCACACAGGGGTATTAGTGCTCTGTGCACACAAACCAGGGTTATCAGTGCTCTGCTCACCACAACCATCTTTCAGGATTTTCAGGATGCACAGGGGAAATATGGTGTTTTTTTTCAAAATAGAAATATACAGCTGTTTATCTACACAGCAGACGCTTAAGGAAACCCTACCCCCAAGAAAACCCCAAATCCAAACACAATCTGCACTGTCAGTGTTGGGGTAAAAGGACCTAACACAGACCAGAGATCCTCCCCCAGGTCTAACCTGAGGTCCTTAAACTTTTGGGAGTCTCTGGCTGACAGGTTTCACCTGCTGCAGGGTCAGTTTTACTTCTCCTTTTTTCAAGGACAAGATTCTGAGTTAAAACATTTGCTCCTTTCTAACCTCTCTGTCTGCATGAAAAAAACCCGGCCCATCCCTGCTACAGGGTCAGTTTTACTTCTCCTTTTTTCAAGGACAAGATTCTGAGTTAAAACATTTGCTCCTTTCTAACCTCTCTGTCTGCTTGAAAAAAAACCCAGCCCATTTAAGTAAAAAAAATAAGAATTAATCCCCACATTCTTTGGGAAATAGCTCTGCAAGGAGCCAGTTCTCCTTAAAAGACTAAGGTCGATGTTCCCCACGCCCCAGTTCATAATGGATATAAACCCTTAGTAAAGTTGTAATACAGGGAAGCGTTTAACTTATTAAACTTTTCAATGATTCACCAGGTAAGACAGCAGAGAAAGATTACAGGAAGTTAGTCTAAATAACAAAAAAGGGGTAAAAAAAACCCCTTTCGCTGTACCGTTTAGGGCATCATTTATGTATTTCAAAGCAGGAGCATCACAGTCTCTGCAGCCTCCTCAAAATGTAGCTCAAAATACCCCGTTAAGCATCACAGTCTCTGCAGCCTCCTCAAAATACCCTGCTGTAGCTCAAAATACCCCGTTGTAGCTCCAAACACACTGTTATAGCTCCAGAATTATTCTATATCCTCGGGGGAACAGTCCTATGCTCCTGAGAGGCTGCAGAGATGACTTCCCAAGGAGTCAAACACACGGCGATTCCCTTGGATGAAGTGGAAGATCCAACCCACCCGTAGAAGAAATTCCACCCCCCAGCACAGATGGAAGTATGGTCACACTCTCTGGCATTTTCTGAGCCTTCAGGAACGGACGGGTCCAGCCACGAATAACAGAGTTATCTCCCCTTTAATAAAAGCTTGCTCAATGTGTTCCCCAATGGGGAAAAAAAAAAGGAAAAATGATTCTACAGCCAGACACGCAATTTGTTCACCGTCCCACCACCCGTGCTGAGCTCAAGGCTATTAAAGAATGTCAATAAACGCAGTTAATCTCCAAGAGACAGATTGGGAGTAACTACAGGAACGTAACATTTCTGGAAATAGCAAAATCCAGCTGTTCTTGTTCAGTAACACCTGATTGAGTGAGCCCTCTGCGCGGAGCCGTACCTGCGTGCAGCCCTTCAGAAACAGGGCTTTGAGTCCCCCGCAGCCCCTCACCAGCGCCTGGATCCCATCCTTGGTCACTTGGTCACACCAGGAGATATTCAGCTGTTCCAGCAGCGGGCATCCCTCGCTGGATGGGGGGAAAACACAGGGAAACTTGGGTTTGTTTGGGAAAGAAATCCCGCTTCGAGGCAGAATCTGGGAAAATTCCCATTTCTGGCCCCCACCTGAGCACAGAGGACACTCTCCAGGTGTGATTTTGCATTTGCAAAGAGCTGCCAGGAGGAGAAACACTCCAGTGTAATTTGTTATGAGGAAGAGATACACATGCAATCATGTATTTAAGGCAGCTGCAGCACAGACCTGACCATGTGAAACTGGAGAGAAGGATGAAAGACCCTCAAGGGAAGGAAAAATCAGGGTTGAAGTATTTTAATGTAGCTACAAAAATAATTTAATTATTCTTTTGTTCTTTCAAATCTGTGTTTTCTTCTGGTGTCTACATTCCAGTGTATTTCCCCCTGGTAGATTTAAGCAGTTATAAAGTTTTTTAACTCTCTCCTAAGCAGTTTAAAAAGAAAGTATTTACAGGCATTGATCAGATCCCCCCTCAGTCTTCTCTTCTCCAGACTAAAAAGACAGAAGTTCCTCAGCCTCTCCTTGTAAGAGAGATGCTCCAGGCCCCTCAGCATCTTTGTACCCCTCTGCTGTCCCCTCTCCAGCAGTTCCCTGTCCTTCTGGAACTGGGGAGCCCAGAACTGGTCCCAGTGCTCCAGATGGGGCCTCCCCAGGGCAGAGCAGAGGGGCAGGATGACCTCCCTCCACCTGCTGGCCACCATCTTCTTAATGTTCCCCAGGATGCCATTGGCCTTCTTGGCCACAAGGGCCCATTGCCAGCTCATGGCCATCCTGTTGTCCACCAGGACTCCCAGGTCTTTTTCCTCAGAGCTGCTCTCCAGCAGTTCAGCCCCCAGCTCTGCCGGGGAATGCCCAAATTCTGGTCACAGTCACACCTCAGACCGTGCCAGCCTCCTCTGCAACACCAGACACGGGGCAACGGCGGGTCTCACCGCCTGGAATCAACTGGCAAAATCAATGTTCTGGGCTCCTACCTGAGGGCTTTCAGAGAGAGGTTGGTTATGGACGTGCAGGAAGCCAGGTCGAGGTGCCTGAGTTTCGAGCAGAACTTACTGAGGCTGGTGCATGTGCTGAAAGAGAGCACACAAGATATTCATGCCAGAAATTTATCCAAACTCATCTATCTTTCATAAAACACACATTCTACCATCTACCAGATGCACAAACCTGTGGTAGATCTCCTTAAAAAGGAGATGGAGAATATAATATGGTGCACACAGACAAGGGGGTGACGGGGCAGGTGAGAACGTTACTCACGCGTCTGTGATCTTGGTGCAGCCATTTAGGTTCAATACTTCAATATTTCTGCAGTTCTGTGCAAACGTCCTTGAAAGAAAAGGGAAAACACAGTATTTTTTTTCAGGCAATAGATTCCCAGATGTTTTCCTGCATTTGTTTTATCTGTATCATCAGACACAATTTTAAAAAATTGTCTCAAGCAAAATTAGTAAGTAAATAAAATCATTTCTGTTGCCCCGTGTCTTGCCTTGGGATTTCTCAGCCTAAAGGCACCAGTTTGTGATTCAGCACCAATTCCTACAGAGCCTGCAGTGGCAGCTGGCAATATTTTAATGAGAACTGAGAAAAATGGCTACTGCGTGAAGCTAAAAAATGATAAATTAAAAAGGCATTTATGTTATCTCTCTTGATGTTTTAAGTTAGACACAGAGGCCAAAGATCCCAGTTCCAAAGTGTTCATAAATCACCCCAATCCTCCGTGGTTGTAGGAAAGGAATCATTCTTTACATCGTATTTAAGAGCAGAAAGAAGCCATACTGCTACCTTAATGCATTGTCTCCGACCCCCAGGCAGCCTCGCAGGCTCAATTTCCGCAGGAAACCCCCACATCTTTTAGAAATATTCTCAACTACCCGGCCCTGTTGGAGACAAAAAGAAAGACATTAAGATCCCAAAGTGACAGCAGCACTCAAGAAATCGAATTTGATATTTCGCGGATTAACAACAGTTCGTTATTCTAGGTAAAACACTGCTCAGAAAATAAAAATATGCCATGACAATAACCTAAGGCAGGGAGAGGGAGAATTATTCAGCTTCTGAAGATGGAGAGACACGAGGCAATCACCCAACGCCAGAGCTGCCACAACACGGGCAGTGAGGTTTATATAAATCAGTACAGTCAATATGCTGTAAGTGGATATATTTAGATTTCTATTTGAAATAGAGATGAGGCAGAACCAGCCCAGGAGTTTAATTCTCTCAGAAAAAGGGATTTTAAAAATTTGTGTTCAAGAGATCTGGAAAAATCGATGGAAGCCTCCAAAGACTTTGCTCTACCTCCAGGGAAGTCCATCATTCCATGGGTCTGGAGCTTCCAAGGCATGTAAAGAGATAAAGTATTTATTATCTAGAACAAAAATCATGCCATTTACTTCCTTTGAGAAGTCTCAGGCCAGCCATACCCCCGTAAACAGCACAAGTCAGAGTCTCACAGCCCTGTCCTTTGTCCCTGCGTCTCAGCCTGGCAGAAAGAGATTATTTTAACTCTTTCCTCCACAAATAATGTGTGTATTTCCCACAAGGTGTGAATCTTCAGTTATCAGCTGGTTCATGCCTCTGTCTATAATGAGTTAAAGCGATACTCTCCCTATCTCCCTCCTCCAACATGTTTTTAAGAGGATAAAACCTTCTGATAAGAAACTTACGTTTGTTTTTTTTTGGGTCTCTTATCTTGATTAATGCAATTTGGATTTTCAGAACAGCGTGACAACAGGGTCCATCCCTGTCAGCCCCGAGTAGTTCACATCTAACAGATCTAGAACAGCTGCAACAAGGCTTTTTCCACAGCTGCATCTTCCAGGAACAATTCTGACCTCATCCCCTGGGATCACCTTAATTTATGTTTGATTGTTGACATGAAAGACAGACGGGAGAGGACAGACATATCGCAGGCCGTGCTGCAGAAGATGTTTGGTCTTAATGGTCTAAGCCAGGGCTGTGGTAACATTTCTTTGAGTGAAAGGAAAAGCAGCCTAAATTCTGCTGTACAGCAGCAGTCGTTTGCCACAAGCACACACCTAATTCCACTTATTTCTGTGTTCAGAACACACACACACACAAATACTTTCCTTCTATTACTACCCTGAAGTCCTGATACAGATATATAATTCTCTCCATTTTCAAAAGCTGAATGGATTTCCAAGATTCCCTGAAGCACAGAAGAACTGAAATTAATGATTTCTATCTCCAGGGAAAGCGAAAAGGGTTACACTGGGAGTATTAATCCATTCTAGGCTGTAATTACATTTTAACAAGAAAAATGGGTTTGTATGTCACTTAATTATACCTCAATATCCCTCTGGAAATCAAACAGGTCAATTCGCTGCCAGTTACTGCCATCCAGGGCCAGAACATTCCATGCCTTTATCGGGGGAAAAAATGTAAATGTGTTGTTAATACGAAAAAAAAAAAAAGAAAACACCACCCCGCCAGTGGGGACCTAGTTACAGTTTGTTCCTTTTAGAAACAACATTCGGTCTCAGATGTTAAAGCAACAAGTAATTACAGCCAACAAGGAAAACAGAGCAGTTACTGGAATTGCCAGCTTGGACAGTGTCCCCTCGCCCGCCCGTGCCACCCTGGCCACTTCTGTCCCCCCCAGGATGGGACACAGAGCTGGAGCATGGGCTTCTTCAGGGTCCTGGCTGGAATCTAAGCCCCTCTGTGGTGAAACCAACACCTCTAAAGGACACTGGAGGGACCAGCATGGAGATGGAGGATGCCAGGACATGGGTGAGTCCCAGAGGAGACCCTACACCTCCAAGAGAAGTGACACTACTTGGAGGGCTCGGTGGGACGGAGGACTCTGTGGTGACATCCCATCAGTGGTGGGTGAGGGTCTCATCTCACACACCTCCCAGCAGAAAGAGGGGCTGGAGGCAGTTCCACACCTTGGTGCATGGGGGGCTGCATCCCAGGGATGGAGACTGTCAGAGCTTTGGAAGCATCTGGATAAAGCAGCCAGCTCTCACCTGGACCCACCACCGCTGCCCCGTTTGCCGCCTCTGAATTCAGTGTTTGTTTTGTTTTGGCTTTTTATTTTTAACAAATAAACAAAATATCTCATACGGCTCACGCTATGCGAACCAGGAACTGAACGTCCCAGCAGAAAGAGGGGCTGGAGGCAGTTCCACACCTTGGTGCATGGGGGGCTGCATCCCAGGGATGGAGACTGTCAGAGCTTTGGAAGCATCCGGATAAAGCAGCCTGCTCTCACCTGGACCCACCACTGCTGCCCCGTTTGCCACCTCTGAATTCAGTGTTTGCTTTGTTTTGGCTTTTTTTTTTTTAACAAACAAACAGAATGTCTCATACAGCTCACGCTATGAGAACCAGGAATTAGTAATTCTGCCCGCAGTGAATCAGAAGGGTTGTCAACACAGTGCTACACTTCAAGTTTTAATTACACAATCAAAGTAAACAACTAGATCTCATAATTAACCATGAGTCCATCGTTATGAAAGAGCCCGTGTGTGTAGGCAAATTTTTATACTACATCTATTACAGGCACTAAGCTGCATCTCCATCCCAATATCTACTGGGTCTTGCACAAGCCACACACAGATTTACAACAGAACTGGAAGCATTAATTTTCCACATTTCACATCCCATCGCCGATATTTGTTTTAAGGTCTAGTTATGGCCATGAGAAAAGTAATAGCTCCTGTGGAAGAGAAGTGCATCAGTGGATGCAAATTATAACACAGCATGTTTTAAGGTGTAACATAAGGGGATGTTACATCCAGCCCTTCCGTAGCTCTGTGTGGATGTGTCAGTCCTTTACAAGTCACACCTAATGTGTTCTCTGATGCCCCATGGACTGTGTAAACAGAGTGTAAACAGTGTGTAAAGAGGAGCAGTGACAAACACGGGAGAACACCTCGACATTGCAAGGATCTCTGACAGCCCGTTTTGGTCAATATTGTTCTGCTGGAGCAGTGACTTTTGGCTGGAAGATCTTTCAGGAGAAGACCTGTGTTACCATGGGATGATAACCCATGGATATTTTTAAATGCAACAGGATATTTAAATGCAACACAGGATATTTTTAAATGCAATTCAAAATGTTTCAGCATAGTCTTTTTTTTTTATTATTATTATTCTTATGTACTCTGAATAATGCAACAAGTTTATGGTTTCAATTCTGAGCCCAGGACTGATCAGGTTTGTAGAGGTGTCAAGAACAAAACCCCTTCCTGCGTAACCCACTTCCCGCTCCTGCAGTAACGCTGCTCTGATCAGATCCTGGCAGGATAAAGTATCTGAACGAGTCTGGTGGCTCTAGATAACCAGACCTGCAGGTGAAGGCATCTTCCCAAGTGAATAATCCAAGCCGGATTTCAGTCTATGAGTTACTTCAGGAAAAAAACAAAAGCATCCTTGAACAAAACAGATGCTCTTTCCGCCACTTACATCAGCTGCATCCAAGTAGGGAAGTAAATGCTCACTGACTGGGCAGCATCTTTGTGAATTAAAATTTCTGTATCACCACCAGTACCCACAAGATGCCATTCCAGACCCATCCAAATTTGGTGTTTTCACCAGCGCAGGCTCTGGTACAAACCCAGGCTGAGTGGAGAGTTCTGGGGCAAAGCCTTGGCCACCTCCCCCTCGTAACCCACTGGGGTCTGGGACACCAGGAAAACGGTATTCAAGCTTTGAGTCCCCCTTCACTGGTGCCACGGGTAGTTTCTGGTACTGTGGTGTTAATTGGGGAAACTAATTAACAATAGCTGAGTTGCATGAAGCTCCCTGGTACAGATCCTCCCAGGTGGACGTGCTTGGGAAGGATGGGGTGAGAGGATTGTCACCCAGACCCAGTGACTGTGAAAATCCACCCAGGAGGAGGAAGGTTCTTACCCTGGAAACTTGAGCACATCGACACAGAGTGACCACATCCAGGAAAGAGAAAATTCTGTAACAGAAAGAAAAGATACTTTATCGGTTATCTACACTTAAAACAAAGAGAACATGGAAAACAAAGGGGTGTGGGTGTGTGTGTGTGTGTAAAAAAAAAAGGACTGGAGACAGCAAAACTTCTTTGTAATTCAGTTGAAAAGCTGAACTGTGAAAAGAAGCGCAGACCCAGCAGTTAAACTAACGACAGCAAACCAGATCCTGAGCCACTGTGAAACGTTAATCTCACACCTTGTAGTGTTCACTGACAGCAAACAAAACAATTACTTATCAAAACAGTCACTTATAAGTATCGTGCAGCTCAGGAGTCAAACCCTCCATTGAGACAGGGCAGAACAACCGGCGTGGGGCTGTCCTGGCTCCTGTCTGAGCATCGTTTTGCTCAGCTGTGGGGCACAGCTGGGCGATCTGGTGGGTGGGGGGCACAGTGCCCCAGAGAGACACCCCTCTGGGACATCACTCCTCTGCCAGGGGACACCCCAGGGCTCAGGCGGACACCCCGGTGTTGCTGCCCTATTTACTGGGATAAAGGAATTAGATGGGACACCCCCCTCTGTGAGTCCAGGAAGTACCGAGCCCATTTAAAGCTCCCAAATCCCTACCAATTTATCAATAGGGTTATTTCATGGGTTATAGTTATTCCATCATACTCCAGAAAACAGAGCAGGCCAAGTGAACAGCAGAGAGACAGTAAGGTCTCATTCTCTTTGCTGGCAAATATAAAACCAGAGGATAAAATGTCTTTTCAAAGACAATACGAATGTTTGACAACAAGAAAACACTCGCCCATACGCTTTAACCTTGAAGACCACCAGAAAGAGAAGGGAAGTGTTATCAGACGCAAGCACTGAAGGTTTGGGGCAAGCAACCTTGTTCCAAAGACTTATGCTATTTTATAAAATACTCTTGTCAGATAAAATAGGGTTGTCCAGGAGAAAATCAGAGAACAAACAAGACTGCACTACTCCAAAAATCGAGAGCGCTGTATGATGAATTCATCTCCCCAGGTAAGTACCAAGAATCCACATGAACAGAGAGCACAGGCAGGGACAGGGCTGGGGGAAGAGGTGCCGCCAATGAGCCACATCCTGGGTGAAAGGCACCTTGTCCTAGAGATAAACGAGGGGTTAAATCCAGGCTCTGGTTATTGACATCACGTTTTAGTATGTGCCACACACCCTCACACACCCATGTATCTGTATATTGTCATATACAAGCAATAAATCACGGATTTTCAAAGTTTAGGAGAGGATAGACACACGGCTGAGATATGACACACCATCAGATAACCCAGCTTTCTTCACTAGCAGGCATATAAAAAACATTTTCCATCTGCCAACATTGATGTAAGAAGAGAAAAGGATGCTATCCATAGAGGATGAATGCAGATTATTCCTCAAAACCCAAAACGCTGACAGGTACCACGTAGCTCAGCCCTCAAACACCCAGTTGAGTCAGGACACAGCAGAATAAACAGCCACGTGCTCTCCGGTGTTTCCTCTCTGCCCAAAACCACTCAGATTTAAGGAATTTGGTTCAAGATATTCCCATCTGTTCCTTACACATCTCCTGAGACAAAATGTACAGTGAGATGCTGAGATACAGGTAGTTAAGGGGTGTGGGACAGAGCTGTATGTGCTTTACCATAACACTGTTTTGGGAACCCCCTCCTGGATTTCAGCAGCGGCCCCAGACTCGCTCTCAACTCCTTACAGACCAGCCTTCCCCTGGGCTTAAATGTCATTTATTCAGACACGTATGTGAGCGCTGGGGATTTATTTAGCACAATGTCAATGTGCAACAATACAAGGAAAGCCTGGGGAAATGAGAGGAGGTAGGGAAAATTCTAACTTTCACCCTAGATTCCCATCAGCGGAGCAAAAAACCACCCAACTCCATGGGAACGGGGGCTGTAACTACACAAGCTTTCTGTATTTTCATTAAAACTGCTTTCTCCATGGAAATCCCAGGCTATTAATAACCGTCTCATCCCTCTATCAGGGCTATTAGGTCTTGGCCAAATTATTTTCCGCTTCCTGCTCCTCCCTTCCCAGTTTACCCACACAGAAAACGTCGACCCAGCAAAATGCTTGTTGAGCTCCGCCAGGAGCTCCCTCGTCGTCCGACCCCGAGATTTTGGCTCTGAAAAGCTCAAGAGCCTTTTCCAGTGTTTTCTGAACCGCACTTGCATTTGTTTTCAAGAATATCAGGCAGTGACTCAGCAGAATCAGACGGGGGAAAAAAAAATAAAAATAAAAATCACTCTTTCAACCGCGTTTTGGTCGATTCAGAATTGGCTCCAGCTCCAACCCTTGCCTAACCGGAGAGAACAGCAGGAGCCCAGCTGAAATCTCACAGACACAGCAGCAGCCCAAGCTAAGTCTTCCAACGTTGCCCCGAGGACTGGCTTCTTCTTCTCCAAGGAGCTGTTGGGGAATGTTTAAAACCACCCCAAAACCCCCAAAGCGGCTGCCCCTGTGGCTCAGCAATGACTGAGCAGACACCCTGTCCAGGAAAATGGGACGGGGCAGAAATGCTGGGCCTTTTTCCAGTGTAAAATAAAGCAAAGGTAACCTGTGGTCACTTGAAACAGCCAAACAGCTGGTTTGGCTCCTTTTTGACTGTCCAAAGGAATATTCACATATAAAGGTGTAACCTCCCAAAAACTCTTCTGGCAGGAGACCCGAAGCAGGAACAGCAGTTTCAAGACAAGGGGTTGTGACCCACCAGCTGATCTCTCTCCCCACGAGCTGCAGGACATCTTTTAGAGTTCTGCTCCAGGGGAAATGCAGGATGAACACCATGGCCACCAGCGACATGGTAGGACAGGAGAGGACACAAAAGCTGAAGCATGGACACCTCTGAAGGAAGGATCTCTGAGGACAGCCCCCCAGGAGCACTTTACACCCCTACCCCATTCCCCCCAGATTAAAGGTGTGACTGGAGCTGCACATTTCTGTGTCTCAGGGTGTGACAAAGGCCACTCTTCACCCCTTTCATACCCTCCCACTCTTTATTTTGCCCAAGTCCAGCTTTCCACTCCGCGACCACATCCATGAGACACCAATGCCATCTGCAGAATGAACAAACCAGAGAACAGGACCTTACACAGCGGCACCGCTTCAACACACAAGGCTTTGTCCCGGAGACAGTGACACTCATTTACAGGAGATTCCTGCAGATCAACGCATCCAAGTTTCTCTTTCAAAGGCTGCACTGTCAATCCCCGCTAATTAATCTTCACAGTATGCTAACAGTGAATTCCAGCTCTCAAAATCATTACTTATGAACTTTTAACGTTTATAAACTCCGTCTCCTGATTGTGCCCAGGTTCCAGGCAATCCTGAATGCCTCCTCTGCTCCACAGCAACTGGAGATAGCAGGGGACATGAGACAAAGGCATTTCTGCAGGGCAGAAGTGTGTGCACTCCTAAGAACTCAGCCACTCTGTGGTTTGTGCCGATGAAACTCCCTGCCTGGTGCAGGGACCTTCCCTCCCGCTTACCACAAATCCTTCTCCAAACATCTAGTAATGTTCCTCCGCACCAGTGACCTCCTACAGCCCAAGGTGGGCTTACTGGTCCCACTCAGGATCCTTCCATCTTGACCAATCTGCCTGAAAACTCACCCGTGCTCTAAGGGAGGTCCTGCTCCTTGGCAGCCAAGTGACCACACGCCTCTTCCCCTGAATTCCACGCAAAAATCGCAATTAAATTCCACCCCTCGATCTCTTCCTCTCCCAAGGAGATTCCCATCTTCCTCCCGAGGAGATTCCCCACTTTCCCTGTGCCACACACACCCCTTGCCTGTCCCCAGCCTACCTGTGTCTTGTCACCTCACCACAAGGACAAATCCTGCTTCTGCTGCATCTGAACCATCAGTACGTACTTGCTCCCATCAGTCAAACAATCCCCTCCCAGAAAATCCAGAAAGATGCTTTTCTCACTCTCCAAACTCCCCTTTTGCTGCGACACCTCTGTACTGATGGTTCAGGGCAAGCGCTGGGGGATAAAAACCACTGTCACCTGTGAAAAACTGTGTCAGTTTATCTGGGCAAGGGCATCCTGTTGTGTTCATTACTTCATCCCGCTCCTCCCACAGGACGCTCATCTCCCCCCGCTCCCCAGTGTTGATTTTTACAGCAATCCCTCTCCAGCCTGGACAATCACTTCCCAAACACCCACCATTAGCAGCAAAGAGAGCTTTAGAAGCCACACATCTTACTTTTGGATGAATAAGACTGGAATAAGAGAGACCTAATCAGATCAGAGATACCATTACAGAGAACAGAGGCAGCGCAGTCAAAAGAAAAAAAGAGTCAAGACTTCTTTTTATTCATTTTATTTCACGAGTGAGTTTGAAGCAATTTCCTGTGTCAGAGCTCTTCTCCCCAGACTTTTCCTTGCCATTAAACGCTGACAGTACCACACAGATCCTTGAAATGTAGGAATTTTGTTCACGTTAATAATTCAAGCTGCCACCTGCAAGTGCCTTCGCCGTTTAACAGTCTGGCATCTCCATGAACACGACTTGACTTCAAGACATACAATTACACACACACACATCACACTCCTGTGCTGGGGAAGGCAAACTTCAAATGGTACCTGGGGAAGGCAAACTTCAAATGGTACCTGTGTGTGTGTGTGTGTGCACGTGGGAGGACAGCACCGAGATCAACAAACTCTGATCTGCTTGATCTCTGCCCCCAGGACCATCCTACCTGGTGCTGGAGCAGAGGAACTAACTTTTTTTTTTTTATTATTAAATGGAACACTTTTAAGAGAGGCAGAATCCTATTCTACTCATTAGCCCACACTTACCATTTATTTTCATTAAGGACTGACTTAGTCCTTAGTTCTTCCATCGACAAAGCAGGCAACCAGGAAATTAATTTAACATTTTAAGAAACAAAACCTAATAATATTTCGCATAAACTGCCGCTGATGCAGACCTTTGATCCGCTTCTGTTTGTCTGTGGCTTTAGAAGTGACCCCATCCCAGCTCCTGATTTATGAGTGTACCAATAAAACCAGCCACCGACTGCAAATAACAACACACACCAGTCTCCCCAACTGAAACAAAACTTACCGAAGTAGCAGCTCTTTTGGAAGTTTTTTGTTGATCACAGCTTCATCGTTGTTTGAGAACATCTGTAAACAAAACCAAATTTAAACATTTTAGCCATATATATATTTTCATGAAGTAAACAAAACCTCCTTCACTCCAGGGAAGAAGCTGCTGGGTAACAAGGGCATTTCAAGAGAGACACCTGGTCCCATAAAGTCTCAAAAGATAAACTTTGTGCTCAAGCTTTCAAACTCCTGGATGGGACCATAGTTGAACAGGATATTACAACAAATACGGTTCAAGAAGTGGCTCAAGAGTGCTCTGTGGATTGATAGATTAAATATAAATGGAGAATTTTAATATCTTTATTAAAGTAAGTGATAATTAGGGGGTACTCGTGGGCTGGCACTGCCTGTAGGAAGGTACCAATCGCAGCGTGACCATGGGGCTCCATCTGTGTCACCCTTCTGTGCAGGTACAGCAAAGAACAGGCACTTTAAAACCATAAAGTGTAACTACACATTAAACAAACACACAGCAAATGGGTTGGAGGGAAGGGCCATGATAAGAGTGATGAAACAGCCCTTCCAACAACTGGAGGCTGAAGATGCCAGCACAGCAGGACCCGTTTCCATAACAGGACACAGTCTTACAGAGGTCCTTGCAGCCTCTCCAAAAGCAGCCTGAGGGGCTTTGGGGAAAGGGGCAAACAGTATTTCTTTTAAAATAACGAAGAATGTTTTAAAAGGAGACGTGATCACTGGTGCTGTGTCAGGAGGGATGATTCTGGGAAAACCACAGAATGCTATGGGGTTGGAAGGGACCTCTGGAGATCATCTCGTCCAACCCCCTGCCAAAGGAAGTCCACCCAGAGCAGGTCCCACAGGAACGCGTCCGGGTGGGTTTGAATGTCTCCAGAGAAGGAGACTCCACCACCTCCCTGGGCAGCCTCTGCCAGGGCTCTGCCACCCTCAAAGTGAAGAAGTTCCTCCTCATGTTTAGGTGGAACTTCTCATGTTCAAGTTTGTGCCTGTTACCTCTTGTCCTGTCCCTGGGCACCACTGAAAAAAGCCTGGCCCCATCCTCCTGACACCCACCCTTGAAGTATTTATAGGTGTTGATCAGATCCCCCCTCAGCCTTCTCTTCTCCAGACTAAAAAGCCCCAAGTCCCTCAGCCTCTCCTCGTAAGAGAGATGCTCCAGGCCCCTCAGCATCTTTGTAGCCTCTGCCCCTCTCCAGCAGTTCCCTGTCCTTGAACTGGGGAGCCCAGAACTGGCTCATGGTCATACCATGTTTTTCCAGGGCAGTGAAGCCAGAGCTGCTGGTTGGATCCCACGCAGAGCATTAGCACAGGGGCCAACCATTTCCAAACCTGACATGGACTTTTGGACCAGCAAAAACCACCCCCACTGCCTGCAAGAGAGAGAGGAGCTCCTCTTTCCTATGGAGTGCTAAGAAAAACAAGACAGCAAAGCCTCACGTGCTTCTTGAGGAATATCTACACAGATTCTAAAGCCTTGGTATTGTCTTGCCATGGTGAAAAACCAAACAAACAACAAACCTCCACACACTTAGGCCTGTGGGAGGGATGATTAGAGCGATCTGTGAGCTCAGGCTCTGCTGAGCAGCGATGCCTCATTCCACTCAGAAGCATGATTTCAACATTTCCAAAAGCAAAGCCTGGAATGAGCTTTAATTTCATTAATAAAGTTTCTCTTCAACCTTCAGACCAACCAAGAGCCAATCCTCCTGAGCCACGCACCTGGTAAAAAACTGCTGCCGAAATTACAGGCTGAAAAAGCTGATTCGATAACGGGTCGATTAAGTGGGCTGAATCAATTGAGTTGTGTGTATGCAAAGGAAATAAAGCCAGCATCAGCCAGGTCACTTAAGTGGCAGAGGATCAGATTAAGAGTTAAAAAAGGAAAGTAAGATCTTAGTGGCTTATGGAGCTGTGCTCGGCCTCGCTGCCGGACAACGGCTTCTCCAGGCAGCAAAATATTCCACACCCGAGCACCCATCCAGCCCCATCACCTCCTGAAGGAACCACCACACGCCAGCATCAGCCAGGTCACTTAAGTGGCAGAGGATCAGATTAAGAGTTAAAAAAGGAAAGTAAGATCTTAGTGGCTTATGGAGCTGTGCTCGGCCTCGCTGCCGGACAACGGCTTCTCCGGGCAGCAAATACTCCACACCCATCCAGCCCCATCACCTCCCGAAGGAACCACCACAGCTCAAAGGGAAAAGCCAACGTGCTGCTGCTAAATTGCCTTTTAACACGCTGCCATCAGTGAGAACAAACCGGCACCACCAGGAGAGAACACCGAACCCAAGGCTTTTAGACTCAAACTAAAAGGCAGCGTTTCTAAATCACAGTTTGCTTTTTAGTTATCTCCGGATACCGAGGCACAACGCTGCCGTGGGACATGAACTCTCCAGCATTCTTTCCCAAAATGTCACACAGGAAAAAAAAAGTGTTGCTTCCCCCCCCCCCAAGACACTTTTATCACTTCCCACCAGAAGGTATCACAAGTTAACCTGTCCTGAAGGGTCCCACCAGACAGGTGACTACTCAGCCCATTTTGTAGATAACTAAAATGGAAGTTTTGCCACGTCCCCGGCTAACACAAGTTCTGGGAAGTCTGGGCCCTCAAGATGAGGGCAGAAGAGCATCTTCTGGAGTCAAGAACTGTGCTCAGACCCAGCCATGGATGCCATCCCACACTTGGCAGATAAGGGGGGTGTCACAGCAGGACAGGACAGACACCAGTGAGGCTACAAAATGAAGGAAATTCTGGAGAAAGCTCTAACGAAGGAGAAATGCAGAAGAATTATTCATGGGAAAATACAACTCTGATTTTTCTCCCCCCTCAGTTATAAGAACAATAGTAAAGAGGCAGATCCATCCTCTTTCCCATGATTGTCCAGGCCAGAATTTTACATCTGAACCAGCCCCCTCCGCCCCCTCACAAAAAAAAAAAAAAAAAAAAGGGTAAGAGAAACTATAAGAGCAAATCAGATAGCAGTAGGAGACTTCCGAAAAGGAACCAGCCTAGGAGAGAACAGGCAAGGGGCAGGAAGTATTAAAATAGAGATCCCAGAGGCAGCCAGGCAGCCTTTTCTGTCTCATCTGGATTGGCAACAAGGCTTTGTCTGATTCCAGATAGTCACTGCCCGGTGTTAACTGGGACTGTTCATCAGGGACACACTTTTTTTCTTGACTTGTGCCCTTTGCTTTGCTCGGTAGAAAAAGCTTACCTTGATTCCTGTGCAAATCAAAGCCTTAAATTGCTTTTTTTTTTTTCCTGGAGAAGCAACCCTTTGACCAGTACTATGCTAAAAGAACCTTTGGTCTTACGAAAGAAGTCCTTGGACTGAAAGGTGGCAGGATGTGCTGTGTGGGAGATCCTCAGCTCTGGAATTCCCCCTCCCCTGGAAGACAGTGAGGCACCGGGGGCATCACCAGACCCGTTTTATCAAGGTTTCCTTCAAAACTCAGGGCTGAGGACAGAAACTGGGCAAAACCAGGCTGGAACTGGGATATACTGCTACGTCACAGCAGCATGTAGAACTACTTATATATACCCATGGATGTTTTTACTTTCTGGTGAGTCCATACAAGAATAAAAGTAGGCTGAAAAAAGTGTTAGAGGCTATTCTAGACTTCCAGGCTTTTGAAATCACTTCTAGGGATAAAAACTAACTGATCTAAGTTTGCTTTTCCTAACATCTGTCTTAACATCCTTTAGTACCAGGTGTTATTCAGCAGAGTAAGTTATTCTTGACAGGATACAGAAAATAAGTAAATTTTCTCAAACGTAAATCTTCCTATCTGTGTAAAACACAGAATCTTCTGCCGTGCGAAACCACATCCCCTGCATGGAAAAAAGGGAAGGGGGCAGAGGATGAAATCCCCCTCACTTGTCCATCCACCCATCGAGATGAAGGCAGATCAGGGCATCCTTCTCCTGAAACAGCCTCTAAATCTGGAACAAACACCACAGAGGCAGATACCAGACTTTAAAACTTGTGTTAAATCAGTACAGGTTACTATACTCTGCTACAAGGCGAAGGAAAACACAACCTACCAGAACCCCAGAGCTGGGCAGAGTTTCTCATAGGAAATGCTGAACTTCCTCGTGATTTTACTCTAAATCTCTTCCTGGTTTTCAGAGCAGCATCTCCAGAGAGCGGAAGCGCTGGGCAGCTGGAGCTACACGGGGCCACAGCGCACACAGGAGTTGGGCATCACTCCCTCGAGATGATTTAATTTTCCTGCAAATATTGCACTGCTCAGGAAATGGGCAGAACCCAAGAGTTTTCCAGGGCATGTGTCTGCTGCCGGTTTTATGCTTAACACGGAAAGATGCTTTACAATCCAGGAGATATTTGGTGTATTCACACTTCAACAGCGCTGCACGTGGAAATTCCTCCCCATTCCAACCAGGAACAAAAGGGAGAACAAACAGGATCCATCTAATTGTAAGTCCAGCAACTCCAGTGGTGGGTTCAGCACCAATTCCACAAGCCCAGAGAAACGACAAAACCGAGGAACTTAATCCATAAATCAATCCTTTATCTTGCAGATTAATTAAAATGTTAACTCACTGGTTACCATTCAAGAAAAGGAGAAATCTAACTATTTGGCACCCGGTTTAGAATACTCCATTCAGCATTTGAGAGGTGCACCCTGAGGGGCTGGTTTTGGAGTGGTTTTTTACAAGTAGGTGGCCAGAGGAAGCAGCAATGAGGATAAGGATGATCCAAGCCCTCAGTCGCCCCCAGGAACTCACCAGCCACCCCTAAATTCTCCTCCCTGCCCTGTCCCATACCAGCTGAAAGCCAGAGATTACAACCCAGGAGACAAACCCCTGGTACTTCCCGGGATGCATCTGTGGGATGCTTCTCTCCAGAGCACTGTCACCCAGAAACATCCAAATTGTCCGCATCTGTGGGATGCTTCTCTCCAGAGCACTATCACCCAGAAACATCCAAATTGAGCAAATTTACGAAAATAAATGGACAAAAGTGATCAAAAAATACAGCTCTTACAGCCTTACGCTGAAGTCACTTAACACAGAA